ATTTGAAAGAAACAGGCTATTTTCTAACTCGGGCAGTAGGTCGTGATCTCAGTGTATCTGGGAGTGGAAGTCCACACATCTTCAAGCTGCCAAGGTTGAGAAATACTGCCCTAGATATTTTAAGATGGTCACTTTCTCTAATCCTAGCCTCTGAGCTCTTCCAGATACACTGAGATCACGACCTACTGCCCGAGTTAGAAAATAGCCTGTTTCTTTCAAATGATGGGGGCTGAAGTCCCAACACAACACAACAGAGTGGCCAGCTTTAGCCACCTGAGCATTTTCATCTCCATTCTCAATAACAGAAGGGAGGGATTTCTAATCCTGATGACCACGAAGGCTGGGGACAGAAAGGGCAAGGTTCGGTCCTGTCCGGGGAGGGCCGACCTGACCGACGCAAAGGCTGTTGATTTTTGCAGGATTGAGAATTGAGGCCCCAAACACGCACACATACACACGCACCGCCTCCCAAGCAACTCCAGAGGCAGAGAGATTCGAAGCATTGCCCCGACATCTTGCCCGTCCCAGAAACCCCTGGGCAAACCTCAGCACCGTCTTCACATTCGCTGCAGCTTGGTTTGCTTAAACCCTCTTCCCGCAGTCCTGCGATGGGCGCAAGCCCTGAGGATGAGGTACCTCCCTCCTTTTTTAAAAACCCAAGTTCCTGCAGAGCCCAAAACCTGAGAGATGCTCAACGTTGGCCCTGCTGCAGCTTTGACCTGGCTCCCGAAACGGAGAGAAGAAAGTCTCCTCCGCCGACAATCGATCTCTCTTTCAGGCATCACAACAAGACGCAAAGAGAAACGTAATACCTGCTTTGTTCGGGCTGGAGAACCCGAAGCCCTGGGACGCTACGCTTCCTCCGCCAGAGCTGAAGGTGCCCATCGGCTTCTGCTCGCCAAAGGAAGTGGCGCCAAATCCAAAGCTTTTGGCGCCGCTGTTTCCAAAAAGATTTGACGTATCTGCGATGGAGAGGGGGAGAGGGAAAAAAAAAGAGGTTTCTCTTCCTTTCCTACCAGGAGAAAACAACCCTGTCCTGGTCTCAAGGGAGGCAGAGGAAAATCCTAAATCAGGCCGGGCATTTAAACAGCTTACACATAATGTATACATTGGATTTTAACTTAGCTAGTCACCTAAGGCGAGTAGCAATCACCTGCGGGTGAACACAATTGTTTTGCACGTGGAGGGGCCGAGCGCTCGGCTCTACTTACTCTGAGGGGCTGATGCGCCAAAGCCGCTGCCGGTGCAACCGAAGGGGTTTTTGTTGGCCGCCTCGTGACTCGGCTTCCCCCCCAGGCCGCTGAAAAAGCCCCCCGTTCTCCCGCTGCTGCCGGACCCGAACAGACCCCCGCCGGAAGAGGACGGCTGCGGAAGACAAAAACGAAGAATGTCGGACAGGCTCCGACTGCCAGGCACTCAAGCACGAAACATCACAAGGGCTAGTAGCTTTGCCCTGCGGCTCGTGGATCGAGAAAGCACGACACGCAGGGCGTGGAGGAGCGGAAACAAAATGAAGCGGGGGGACGGACTGATTTACCCGTGTTTGAAAGCCAACTGAAATGACGGCAAGTGGAAATTAAAAATGGAGAAACAGCATTCATGCAGCTTTGGGGGTGCCTGGGGAGGAAACTTTAATAGTCTAAAAAGAGACATAAAAAACTCGGTGACTGTCTCCAGAGCTAGGGACAGAGTGCAACTTAATTTTCATCCGCCGATTCCAAACTTTAAATTTGCGGCGTATCAACAGAGTATCGATTTTATCTCATTTGTATTTTTGAATGGGGGACGACACTGGTCATCTGTCCTTGCCACAGGCCACGTGGGGTGCAAAGTTTCAGAAAAGCACAAAACTTTCTTTTTTATCTGCCAGACTGCATGTAAGAGATGCCGGGATCAAAGCGGGGACGGCCCCTCGTGTTGAGCTTATGTTGGTTTTAAACTTCTGAAGGCTTGTAAGCGGCGACACAGCTTAAAAATCAGGGGCAAAATTGCCTTTCCTTTACAATTGCTAACCATTCAGGGTGGCAGAGGTGCAAATCACTGCGCTCTTTCGGCAGGTAATATAAATTGAGGTCATGTTTGTTTGTCTGTTTATGATTTTTGTCGAAACGTTTAAAGAAGAAGATAAAAACTCATACAAATTAAGACAAAGGAAGGAAGAAAAAAAAAAAAGACATCGAAAAGAAATCAAAAAGCACAAGGAAAGAAAAGATGAAGGAAAATAGAAAGAAAAAAGATACAGAGAAGTGGCTTCTAATCTTCACAGCAGTTATAAGTACAATTATATTTTAACCTCTCTTTCTAAAGTTACATCGTGACTCTCTACTTTCTATAATCTATCCTGTTTCATCATCAAAGCCATAAATCACAAGTTCATTTCCCCCCCTTTTTACGCAAAAAGTCCGTAAGGGGTTTCCAGTCACCAATAAATGTAGTTAGTGTCTTTTCTCTAATCGAAGAAGTTAATTTAACCATCTCAGCAAGGTCTGCCAGTTTCACCAACCATAAACAACAGAACAGCAAAGAGGCAAGCCATCTAAGAGCAACCTAGGGCCGAAAGCTCATTCAGACAGACTAGCCTTCAACCTTTGCACAAAATAAGCAAGGTTGGGATCGCCTGATCCCCCAGGGAGAAAGCGTTCCAAAGAATGGGGCCACCAGTGAGCAGGACCATCACCTGCTCTGCACCCCAAGAACCTGATGAAAAGAGGGGCCCTCAACAGCACTTCTGTACATGTCCAGACTGGTGGGCAGATTCTGTTCTGACAAGGCCACGCCTGTGATACCTTGAACAAACAGCTCTGTTTTCTCCTGACCCAGTGCAATTTTTGCCCATAACAAGGAAGACAGCTGGTTTGGAAGAATTACCTGGCCGAAGAGGCTCCCACTGGTGTTGGCAGCCTGCCCAAATACAGCACTTGGGCTACTGGAACCAAACGCTAAAAGAATCAGAGAGGGGAGAAAAAACAAAAAAAGGCAGAGGGTTAAACAGCTTGTGAAAACCAAACACTGTCATTTTTACCAATAGGGTGTATTGCTAAGTCAGTGTTGACTCCTAGCAACTACATAAACAGATCTCCTCCAGGATGATCTGTCCTGAAGACCTGGTCCTCCAGGTCTTCCATTGCTGGTGGAGTTCCTTCCACCTTTCCCATCATGATGGTCTTCTCTAGGGACTGTATGGCTTGCCCAGATAGAGATGGATGGACGGATGGATGATGTGCTATCAAGTCGGGGTCAACTCTTAGGGACCACATAGACAGATTTCCTCCAGGAGGATCTGTCTCCAACCTGGTCCTTCAGGTCTTCCAATGGTACACCCATCTCAGCTGTAACTGAGTCCATCCTCCTTGCTGCCAGTCATCCTCTTCTTCTCTTTCTTTCCACCTTTCTCAGCATTATGGATTTCTCCAGAGAGCCAGGTCTTTGCAGAATTAGAGTATTTGACCTGCTGCATGTTAGAGGTATCATTAGCCAACCCACCACCCTTGTTCTACATCATGTTGACAGTGATGAATGATAGATCTAGCATGTTCTTTCTAAAAAGCTGGACATGTTCCTTAGCATTCCTGTCCTCATCATAATGGGACAAGATATGGATGGTCTTCCAGTGCTGAGGATCAAACTGCCCCCATACTGAATTGATTTCTTTCCATTCATTTTTTAAAGCAAGTCCCTACGAAATCCCACGTCTCTTCAGCAGGGAGAAACTCGGCTTTGTTAATCACATGTTCCTGGGAAAGATAATGAAATGTTTCGATTAAGAGGAATTTCCCAGCGCTCTTCCCAATGCACGTCTTGCAGTTATAATTACAGAGCAGAGTTCATTCTTAAAATATTCTTTTGTCCCAGTAATTAACAGGAGACTCTTTCCAAAAATGGGTATCTTATACGGTTAACCTGATTAGACTTCCCATATGGGTGCAAGGATTCACGGGGGGTTTTTTTCCCCCTTTTTTGTCCTGCTCCCATGCAAAAGAGGAATGACCAGAGCAAGGTCCTCAGCTTAAGCAAAGCCACTGAAAACAGCCAGTTTTAAAAGCATCAAATTACACAACTTTTGCTCAAAATTAAAAACTGCCTAAGCTTTTCTGAGCTGGGGATCACATTCAGAAAAGGGGTCGGGCGAGGTCAGGATAAAAACTAAATTTATAAAAGCCATCCTGGCCGCTAATCTCTCTGCTGTTAGCATGTGGGACTCAAAATTTATTCCCCATCCCATTTTAGTTTTGCCCATTTTCATCTCTGCCAAAGTGAATTGTTATTCTTGGGTGACTGTGAAAACTTTAGGCACAAGTTAGGCACAATAAGTCTTTCATTACTCTCCCCTTTGCTGATACATCACTGGATAGCTCCAGAAGAGTCCCCAAATTCATGACAATTGCCACCACCATCAATTTTGCTAACTTCAATAACCATTCCTGTACGTGCTTCTATCTAACTCTCAGTAGCCTACAATGGGGGTCTTCTCTTCTCCAGAATGCTTGCTCTGGTCCTTTGATCATAAAATTAAACCTATATGTAAGAGAAATATTATTTTTAAGATTCTTTCTCCAACTCAGTGGCTGTTTAGATGTGCTGGACCGCGACGGACATCGTTTGCAAGCCCGTTTTTTGATACAACGACAGCCCTCAGAAAATACTAGAGCTGGAGAAAAGAAAGATTAGTAGGTAAAATTAAACTGGCACCTTTTGGTATGTTGGATTACTACTCCTATGGTCACCCAGAGAGGTACCATCCCTCATCCTGGAGGGCGCCAGATTGCAGAAACCTGCTTTCAGGTGCCCAAACTCTCTTTCTTTAGCCTGCAACCCCAGAACTCCACCCGACACCTGTTGCCTTACCAGAAGCTTGGCAGAAGCTGAACCCGGCGGAAGACGTGGGGGTGGTGGTAGTCATGGAGGCAGGACTCGCAAAGATGGCCCCGCTCTGTCCAAAGGTGGAACTCTGCCCGAAAACAGGAGTGCCGGTTTGGCCGAAAAGTCCAGAAGCAGTAGAAGGCTGCCCGAAGGAGAAGGAGCTGGCAGTGCTGGTGCTGGACGCTGCCCCAAAGACGTTTCCACTGCTGGATGCTGGGGTGGCGGAAGAAGCTGTGTGCCCAAAAGTGGGGGCAGCTCCAAAGCCCGCCTGGTTGAACGTAAATCCGGTTGACGTGTTGGCGGGCTGGCCAAAAACGGGAGGTTGCCCAAATGCGGACTGGCCGAAGCCTGGGGTGGCTGCGGTCCCAAAGGCCGTGGTGCTGAAGCCGGTAGCGATGGCAGAGGAAGACGGCGAGGTGGCCGGCGGTTGACCAAAGGGAGAAGCCACTGGCGGGGCGGCCACGGAGACCTGGCCGAAGACAGGTGGAGCAGACGGGCTTGTTAAGCCCTCGCTGGTAGGCTGGCTGAAGGCCGAGCCAGAGGAAGAAGAAGAGGGCGCGGGGGGCTGCGCAAACCCAGACGGGGTTGAAACCGTGGCTGTAAAGGCGGAGGCGCCGCTGGCTGGTGCCTGGATGCAGGCGGTGGCGTTCGGGGAGGAGGAAGAAGGTGTGCTGGTGGATTCTGTGAGTTGTGAAGCGGTGGCTGCTGGAAGTGAGGGGGCGGGTGCTTGCTCCTCTGCCGGAGCCCCCTCAGCCTTGGGCTCGCTAGGAGCCGTGGTGGAAGAGAGGTCTTTGTTAGACGCGGCTCCCAAAGGAGGAGGAAGGGGCCCCCCTTCCACCTCTGTTGGTGGGGGTGCCGCTGAAGGGGGCACTTCCGGGGGAAGCTGCTCAGGGGTCACGGCAGACGGTTGGGGGGCGAGCTGTGCTGTGGGCAATGTGGCCCCCTCATTCAAAGGAGGCTTTTCAGCCGCTGGTGGGGCCGTTTTGGCATCCTCTTCTCCCTTACTCGCAAGGGCAGCCGTGGTGGCCGTAGAACTCAAGAGAGTCCCAAATGAAAGGGTTGCGGTTGATGGCGGAAGGGCCAAAGATGGGGAAGGTGACGCTTGGGGGGCATTGGCCTGGGGACTCCCAAAAGCAAAAGGAGACTTGCCACTGCCCGCTGGGGCTGCGAGGCTGAAGACGCCCGGAGGACCAGCGCTGACCAGATGGACGTTGCCAAAGATGCCACCAGGGCCAGCGGGTGCGGAACCAGTCCCCGTGGTCAAGGTGGTGGTGGCCTCTGCAGGCTTGCTCGCCGACAGAGCGTTTCCAAGAGAAAACCCAGAGGGCTGCACCCCTGGCGCGTTGGCGGAGGGCGTCTTGGCAGGGGCTGCCTTGACATTCTCGTCAGCTTGGCCAACCCTCAGGCCGGAGAAGCTCCCCAATGTCTCTCCGGCTGCAGAGCCCTGGAACATCTGATCGCCTTGCTTGGGGGAGAGGTTCTCCAACTTGGTGGAGCCTGCAAAGGGAAGGGGAGTCTCTGCCACTTGTCCATTGCCCTGGCCTGGATCTCCGGAGCTGGCGCTCCCGATGACAGAGGCCCCTGAAAGGGTGGGGGGTTTGGGGGATCCAAACGGAAACGAGGTCTCCGGCGTGGGGGCAAATTTCATGCTCCCTCCAAGGGAAAAGGCTTCAGGCTGGCTCAGCTCTTTCGCTGGTGCGGCTGGAGCTGCCAAAAGAGAAGAGTCAGACTCAGAAAGGAATGTGCGTGGATTTTCTTCCCCGAAGCAGACCAGCATTGTCGTGGCGGTAAAACTGCCTAGCGAGCTACTGACCTCGGATTCAGAAAGTTCCTTTCTCCCAATTTAGGGGAAAGGGAAAAAAAAAAAAAAAGGAATAGAAAGGAGTGATGGGAAAGACCATCAATCACGGCAATTTGGATGGATTTGTAGATTCCTCCACCAGGGGAATCTATTGATTTGTTAGATTTATATTCTGCTTTTCCTCCAGGAGCCCAAGATGTATGTCGCCCTTCCTTCTCTGATTCTTCCCTGTAAGATAAGTGGGGCTGAAAGTCTGTGAAGGACCCAAAATCACCCCATGAGCTTCCAAGGCTGAAGCTCAATTTGGACCTCTTCAGCCCTGTTCCAACGCCTCTGCCACTCACTCCACCTTGTTAGGCAGGTTTGGGTTTAGTAGATTGGGTAAACCTTGCCGCTGTGGTTTAGAAAAGATGGTTTATGCCAGAGTGGCCCAAACAAACTCAGCCCACTGAGGCTTACAGGCAGTCCTCGACTTATGACGGCAATGGGGACCGGCATTTCCGTCGCTAAGTGATACGACTGCATTGCTTAGCGATGGCAATCCCTGCAGTCCCGGTTGCCACCATTAACTGAACCCCACGGTTGTTAGGCAAGGCAATTTCCTGCCAGCTTCCCACAACCAAAGTCAGTGGGGAAGCTGGCAGGAAGTTGCAAGTCCCAGGCTGGATGGCAGGTAAGTGGCTACTGCTGCTGGATGGGGGAGGGAGTGAGGAGGTGCACGGGGGTGTGGGGGAGGGTTGGGAAGGGTGTGTGAGGATGTGCACAAGGTGCCCAGGGGCTGACACACAGGAGATAACCTCTGGAGCCTAACAATTGTGGACAAGAGGTTATTAACCACCTTATCCTGTCCTCCATCCCTTGCTCCTTGTTCCTCAGAGAACTCAGATTCAGATGGGGACAGCAGGCTGACACCGATGCTGATCTCCTACCTAGTATAATGGTATGTGGGAGTGACCTTGGGAGACAGGAGGAAGAGTCACAGACTAGGCAATGGTCAGATAAGAGGCAGCCTAGCCCACAGAAGAAAAAGGGGCATGGGAAGCATCTCAGATGGGACCCTCCCTAGTTTCTTGGACTGTAAAGGCGAGAAGGGAGAGATGTCCTTTCAGACTCGCAAGATTCTGTTAATGTCACCTTACAATAAAGTTAGAGGTAGTATTTCTGGGCATGCTTCTTGTCTGGACTCCCTCACAAAGCTGACACCCAGGTCCCGTCCCCCAAACACTTCAGCTGTGCAACGTCTGGCTTTCTTTTAGGCACCGAGCACGACATATTTGAAAAAAAAAAAATCCTTACCTCCCAAAACAGAAGAGCCTGATGTTGTAGCAGCAGCAGGAACTGCAGGAAAGTTAAACCCAGGCCTAAGTTTGAAATAAAAGAAACATGGCATCCCATTTTAAAGAACTACCCTGGTAGACAGGACAAGGTTTATCTTTTACTTCTTCTATCAGACCAGGACCCTGACATATTTTTCCAGGTCGTCTGATTTTGGGCCACCATTTGCTATACCTGTCCTACCTACAATTGAAGATTAGGCCAAATTTTGATGATTGCCACTGTTATCTGTACTGATTATTAATTTATTTTGACGTATTGTTATTGTACTCTCTGGCTTCTTTTTAGCTTTATTCATCATTACAGGTGTATGTCTTTTGATTGTAGCGTTCTCTGGCCTAAAGGCCATATTAAAGGTTTTGATTTGAATGAGTCCTGGGGCAAAACGTGCCCAACCCCTGAACTAAACCAAGATTTGGTGAGCAGGGCCCAATTGGCGGGTTGACACACTACCTTAAACCATAACCCAGGATTCATACGATATAAGGGATTTTGCGTACTGAGTAGTCACAAAACATAAGGCCTTTTTTATTTTTAAACCACTGGTCCCCAGTTTTCCAACACTGGCGATTTCTGGAGGTGTGGACTCCCTTTCCCAGGATTCTTTGCAGAAGCCATGCTGGCTGTGGAATTCTGGGAGTTGGTGTCCACATCTCTGGAAGGTGCCAAGACTGAGAAGATGTGCTTTAAGTTCTTATCCTGCTCATGACGTCACCGAAGAACTGCTCGACTCTCTCTTGTGGACAAGCTTTCTGGCAAAGCTGAAATTTGAGCCTCTCGATCACAGCTTGGTGCCGCACCCACTTATGGGCCACCCCGTCAAAATGCCGCACAGCATTAGAAAGGAAAGGAAAGGAAAGGAAAGGAAAGGAAAGGAAAGGAAAGGAAAGGAAAGGAAAGGAAAGGAAA